GTAGTGATGGTAATACGTTAAGTACAATTTAAATAAAATTTAATATTTGAATTTTAATATTAAAAATGGACACGAATCGTAAAATTTTAAATTAAATTACACTTTTACCACCCAAATGAATTGAAATTTTTCAAAAGGTTACGTAATTTATTACGTAATATTTTGACCCCGATACAAAATTTAAAAAAAAAAAATTAATAAATTTTTATTTTTTATTTATTTAATTAGTTTCGGATAAAGAAAAGAAAATATTATCGGAGTATAAATATTAATTTAAAAAAAAAAAAAAAAAAATATTTAATAATAATAATAATAATAATAATAAAGGAATAATAATAATAATAATAATAATAATAATAATAATAATAATAATAATGATCCATTCGTTAGCATAATTATTTAATTTTTTTTTTTTTTTAACGGGGGAAAAAGAAAAGCAAAATCGATCGATAATGTGTTAATAATGAAAAATTTTCTTTTTTCTCTCTAAAGAAAATTCCAAAACTTTCAATTAATAATAATAATAATAATAATAAAGGTTTCAAGTTCTACCGAAAGTAGGAAACGAGAGTAAAAAAAAAAAAAAAAAAATTAAATAAAAACACATTTCTCGTAACTTAAGAGCATAAAAAAAAAAAAAAAAGTTGGTTTTTATTTTCCTACTACTACTTTTTTTTACCCTTTTGTGATGAAAAAGTGGGGATAGGCGCGCGAAGAAAAGGTTCGAGAAGGAAGGAAGGAAGGAAAAAGGTCCTTCATATTATTTCGTATTTTTTAATTAATATTTTTTTTTTTATTTAACCCGATAAAAAAAAAAAAAAGAAAAAGTTTCATTTTAAAACTTGTATTAGAATTAGTTCAAGATTTCAACGTATATCTCTCTCCAAAAAAAAAAAAAAAAAAAGAAAAAAAAAATTTAATTAGTAAAAATGTCAGGTAGGAAGGTAGGTAGGTAGGTAGGTTACCTACCAACCTACCTGAGTTAGCAGTTTTAATAATTTAAAGCTTTTTTTTTCTTTCTCTCTCCCCCTCTTTCCACCCCGAAATCTTTTTTCAATTTTCTTACTTTAATGACTTCCAACAATTTCAAATTAATTTTCTTTTTTTTCTTTTTAACGTGGAAAATTCATTTTTTTTTTTTTTTTTTTTTTTTTTAATGAATTAAAACAAGAATAGCACACGTTATAAATAATTTAATGGGGAGGTAGGTGTGTATATACGTGCGACAGAAAGGAAAGGTAGAAAAGGTTAAAAAGGTAAAAAAAGGTTTTTTTAAAGGTTTAATTTTATTACTTTGAGGTCAAACGTTTAAATTTTATGCGATGATTTTTTCAAATTAATTTTTTTTGTAATTCTAGTTTTTTTTTTTTTTAAACCTACTCATTCCCTTAATTTTTCCCGGTAAAAAAGAGAGAGAGAGAGAGAAAAAAGAGACATAAAGTGGAATTTTTTTTTTAAAAAAAAAATCGTTATAAAAATATTTTTCAAAAAAAAAAAAAAAAAAAAACGATTAAAAGATACCAGAGAAAAGTTAAATCCATGTGGGAAAAATAAAAATTTATGACCGAAATAAGGTTTTTTAAAAAAAACACAAAACAAAATTAAAAACCAAAACCGTCGTTAATTATCAAAAAAAAAAAAAGTAAAAAAAAAACAAAATTTATTCCTGTTGAAGATTTTTTTTAAAAATAAAATTCTTAATATTGATTTATTTTCAAGTGTTCAGGCACGACAACGACATTTTAGGGGTTGAAAATTCAAAAACAAAAAAAAAAAAAAAAAAATTTACCGGATTCGTTCGGAAAACATTAAAAAAAAAAAAACTTCAAATGAATAATGGAATGTGTTATAGAGAAAAGGGGGGGGAGTAGAAACAAAAGGGTGGAACAAAGGACGGAAACAGGGGGAAAAAAAAGGAAAAGGAAACAAAACCGATAAAGTTTACGTGTGGGATGCAAATTAAATAAATTTCAAGGTACAACGAAAATAATTTCGTTGTTGTAGTACCTTGATTAAAAAATTTGATTTTGAATTTAAATTATAATTTTAATATTATTATTATTATTATTATTATTATTATTCGTGAACCCGAAAAGGTTTTTCCGACTTTTAATTTCGCACACATGAAAATGGAAATTTCTAGAAAAATTTTTTTTTTTTTTTTTTTTTTTTTTTTAGAGTTCGCGATTAAATTTTTTTTTTTTTCATTGAAATATGATTTTATAACTCCCGGAAAATGAATGAAAAAAAAAAATTATTTTTTTTTTTTAAACGAGAACCGTATAAGTGCTTAAGGGAGTCGATAAAAAATAAAAAAAATTGGAAAGCGAGGGGGGCAGTTGAAAAATTGTAGGGGGGAGGGGGGCAGTTGAAAAAACAAAAAATTATACGAAATGAAAAAGTTTTTTTTTTTTTTTCAAACAATTAATTTTAATATCGACTGACGACTGTTTTTTTTTTCTTTATTATTATTATTATTATTTTAAAATGATGCCACGCCCGCCCCCTGTCCACCATTCCCGTTCCTAATCTCTCCCCAATTAAACTAATAATAATAATAATAATAATAATAATAATAATAATAATAATAAGCAAACAAAATTTCTTTTTATTTCAAAAAAAACTTTTAAACTTATTAAAAATATCCGTCTCTGTTCCTGTCCCCCCAAATATTTTTATAAATCAAATTAAATTTAACATCAATCTTAATGAAACGTTATTTAAGTTACCCCTCCCACTTCACTACCACCCCCCCCCCCAAAAGAAAAGTTATAATAATAATAATTTTTATTAAATATTCTTATACATTGACAGAAATCAATCTTTTTTTTTCTTTTCCTGACCTTTTACTCTCTCTCTCTCTCCTCTATCTTCTCTTTCTCTCTTTCTCTCTCCTCTCTCTTCTCTTTCTCTCTTTCTCTCTCTCACTCTTTCTCTCTCCTCCTCTTTCTTTCTATTTTCTCTCTCTTTTTCTCTCTTTCTTTCTCTCTCTCCCTCTTTTTGTCACTATTTTTCTCTCTTTCTTTCTTTCTATCTCTTTTTCTCTCATTTTCTCTCTCTCTTCTCTTTCTCTCAGACTCTTTTACTTTCTATTTTCCTCTCTTTCTCTCTATTTCTATCTCTTTTTCACGTTCTCATTTTCATATTCAAAAGAAAAAATAAAAAAACCGTTAAAACTCAAACATCGTCAAAAAAAACCGTTTTTATCTACCTTCGAATATACCAGTACTAAATTGCAACGCCGCATCGTGCAACAAAACGTCACAGCATTAAAGTAAAAAAAATTTTTGTTTATATAAAAATTTGGTTCCCCCCTTCCACTTTACATCGTTCGCAACAATTAAAAAAAATTGTCATTTTTTAAAAAGAGATAATTTTTTCATTGTTGCTGCCAACTTATGAAAATTAAAAAATTATTCGATTGTCTGTCATATATATATAAACCGCCATTAAATTATACTCATACACCCTAAAATATATATATATATATATATATATATATATATATATATATATTTCAAAGTGTTGTAATTTTCGACGTTTAACAAACGGGTAGACGTTTAAAAACGCAAATAACAAACAAACAAACACAAACAAACGATATATATATGTGTGTGTGTGGTGTGTGTGTGTATAAGAGAAAATAAAGAAGAATTTTATGTTTAATTTACAAATAATAAATCACATTTTATCCCAATGGTAACCAATAATTAAAGTTAAGGCGTAAAAGTTTATTGTTTAAATAAAAGTTTTTTTTTATTTTAATATAAATTACAACAACATGAAATGATCCCGTGAGAGAGAGAGAGAGAGAGAGAGATTTAACGCCCAAAAAACCAAAAACGTTAACCAATATTTTTCAATTTTACATAAATATAATGATTATTTTTTTAATTTTAAATAAAAAATAAATAAAAAATCCCAGAAAAAAAATTTGCCATTATAAGTTTTCAATAACGAAAAAAAAATATGTATTAATAATAATAATAATAATAAAATTTCACTTACGTAAAATGGTATTTTCATCATCATCATTATTATTATTTCCTTATTAATTTTTTTTCATTTTGTTTATCGTAAAATAATATTATTATTATCAATAAAATGAATTTTAAAACAAAATTTATTAATCACACTTTTTAAAAAAAAAAAAAAAAAAACTAATAATAATAATAATAAAACGAAAAAAATTTTATTTTAAACACATTTAAATAAAATCGTTTTCCGATTCAAAAATTTTTTTTTATTTTCTAAACGATTATTTTATTTTTTTTAAACACGTCTTTTTTATTTTTATCCTAATAAAGTAAATTATAATTTTTTTAAATTTTAATCGTGAAAATTAACGGCCATTTACAACACATTTTTCGACTGCAACACCGCAACAACAAGCAAAGGCAACTTTGAAACTATCTCATCCTTTGAATGTACAAATTTTGTAAGGTTGAACTCTACTGCGTTTCTTTAAATTTTTCATTTTTCAGACGGATGACGTCATTTTATCATTTTTTGTAAATATTATTTAGAAAATGATAAATTTTTATTTATAATTTTCTTTTTTACATTTTTTTATTTTAATTTTTGATTTTCTATACGTCTAATAAATATTATTTCTCTCGATTTAAAAAAAAAAAAACTGAAAAGTTAAAAATTATTTTTTAAAGAAACGCACTCACAATCAAATTAAAGATATATGTTACTTATAAGCAATACGATGAGCTTGTTTAGTGATTGGAAAATTATTTTCAGATTTATAAAAATATTTTTATCGTTTATATATATTAATTAATAGATTTTTGTAACGTGAAAATTTATTAAATTAAAAATAAAATTTTTTAGCGGGAAAGTCACACATTTGAATTGTATGCACTTTCGGCATTCAACCGCAATTCTGTTTCAAAATGGCGGCTTTACTTTAAGAAGCCATTTTGTGTGTAATCTAATGAACGTAAAACCGAACAATTATTTATTTATTTATTATAGTCTCTGTAACTTTAGTTATGGAAGAAGAAGCTGGATCTTCTTTAGATCCTAGAATAACGGAAGTTTGTAATATTTTATGGGGTAATAATGTGACAAACGAAATATTTCAAAGATGGTCACAAGGTAAAGAAATTTTAAATTTTTAATGTTTTATATTAAAAAAATGTTATTATTTCATCATTTTATGAAATATTATAAGATTTTTTAATAATTTTCTTAAATAATCATTTAGCGGCTGAATCTTTTCATAAAAACTATCGTTTCATTAATTGTTTTGCTTATTGATGTGTAATATTCAAAATGATAAACTGTAATTAAAACAAATTTAATTTTATAATTTTTGTTTACAGGTTTTGTTTTTAGTAGAGATGAACCCACAGCTTTGGTACAAAAAGCTGGTGGTCCTTGCGCTGTTATTGCACCAATGCAAGCATTTGTTTTAAAATATGTAAACAGTGTTAATCATATGAAAACTGTAAGTTTTTTATATTTATCTTTAAAAACAGAAAAAAAAATTTTCAATTTAAAATTTAATGATAATCATGTCACAGGAGAATAGTTTTTAAATTTATTATTTAATTCAATCAAAAATTTACTACATGAAAATTTATATTTTAAATGAAGTAATTTATATTTATATCTGTGATTAAGATTTTTGTGGTGCACATGGTTTTATGGAGATTGTCAAATGCGAATAAGAAATCGAGTGATTAAAGTGTATTTATTTAAACAATCCTTATTATATTTTTTGTATATAAATTTGTTATTTCTTTTAAAAATGAAATCAAAATTGACATTTTTATTGAAAATTAATTTATTAAAGAATTTTAATAGTTGACTTATCATTTTCTATCATGTTTTTTTTTTGTTCGTGCACTTTTCATCGCAAAAAGTTTACATCGCTAAATAATTTAAAATTTTAAAATTACCATATTAAAAATACAGTTTTAATATATTTGGTATTTGTGTTGATTTCAGATAAAGGAAGATGAAATTTTAAAAATTCTTATTAGAGCTGCGACTGACATTTTAAGGCAAACATGCAAGAATAACACAAACTATTTTTTATTTAGATGTAAAAAAATGAGGCATATGATAAATAAAATAACAGCTGAAGAAGGAGTTAGAAGAGAAAATCAAGTTCTAGATGATGTTTCTCAACCAATTTTAGATTTAGATAATATTAGCTTTATTAAATTTCATGAAAATATTGAAATTGTTAGAAAAACTGGAATTGAACAAGTTTTTAGTGAATATAGTGATGATGTTACTAGTTATTTGACTTGCAGCTTTGGGGTTCTTTTATTTTTATATTCTGTGATGTTGACTAGAGTAAGACTATTTGGTTAAACATTATCAATGTAAATAAACTTTTTTTTTTTAATTTTACTTAAAAACGGGAAAAATTATTATTATTATTTTAGGGTCTTGATGAACTTCGAGATGAACTGGCAGATCCGACAGACAGTCTGATAGAAAATACTTTCGGTTATGGAAGTCAAAGTTTAATTAATTTAATGTTAACAGGAAGAGCTGTTAGTCATGTTTGGGATCACGAACATGATATTGGAGGCTTAAGTATGATTTATTTTTTTCTAAAACTTGCAAAAAAATATAAATTCCTGATTTTATTTTGATTAATAATAAATATTATTTAGTTTCAATCGAAAGTTAATTTTTTTTTTCTTTTATTATTTTTATAAAGAATTAAAAGGACTTGATAGACAAAGTTCTGTAGGGTTTTTAACTTTGCTCGAACATCTTCAACTATGTGAAGTAGGAAGTTTTTTTAAAAATCCAGAGCATCCTATATGGATTTTAGGATCAGACACACATTTAACAGGTACTGAAAATTGATTCCCTCAGTTTAAAACGGTTTATATTCAATTATGACATATACCTTAAATTTTGTTTTATTTTTTTTAGTATTGTTTTCATTTGAGAAGCAATTAGTTGGAAAAGAAACACCTTGGGAAGAAGCAAGAAGGGTTTTTAAAACTTTTGACTGCGAAGGAAATAATTTTATATCGGCAAAAAATTTAGGACCTTTGCTCCAAGCCTTAGGATTAGTTTGTGAAGACGATTAGTACGTTTGTTTTGTTTTGTTTGTTTTTTTTCCAGTTTTAAAAAATTTTCATTCATTCGTATATTATTTTTTTGCAGTGTTGAAATAATGGAAAAAAAATTAGATAGTGAAAATCTAGGTATTATTTTACTAAAAGATTTTATGGACGAGTTTTTCCCTGAAGAAAAAAAAAGTACTCCAGATACATTTACCGTGTGGCATTATAACGGCTTAGCCAAAAGTTCACCTGAAAATAAGGTATAGGGGATGGGGAGAAAGAACTAAACCATATTGTTAAATGATTTCTTTATTAATTAACCTAATTTTTTTCATTTTTCCCAATAAAGGTAAGGTACCATAAAGGAAATGCCATTATATTAGAATGTAACGTTCGATACGTTCTTGAATCGAACAACATGTTGACAGTTCTTCAAACCAAATGGCCTTCAATAGACGTTCAGTGGGAAAACAATTACACTCCTAGTTTAAACTGAAATCAAAATAATAAATAAATAACATTAATAATAATAATAATAATAAAAATTAATAATTAATAAGAATAATAATTCTAATTATATAATGAATAATATAAAACTTAATATTTTAAAATTTAAATTTAAATTTAAATTTAAAAAAAAAATAAAACTTATTATTTTTTTGTATTATCCGCAAGCAAAAATATTTCTAATATATTTAAATAGAAATTTTAAATATTAAAAAAAAAATATATAATATATATATATATACATATATGTATATTTTAAATGAAGAAAAAAATTTTTTTAAATATTTATTCTTTTCATTCCTTGACTTTTTTTTTTTTATTCTCACATTTTCATAAAATTATTTATTTAATATAATACATATAATCATCATTATTTCTTTTTTTTTTTTAAACATAACAACTTTGTACAGAGTGTAAAATGAAAATTTTAAATAAATATATGTAAATAAAAAAG